GCATCCTTCTCCTCATGAGGCCCCTCCCATTCTGTGCTCCTTGTAGCCTGCTACTGCTAAGCAGCCCCAGCCTCCACCTGTGCCTTCTCCCTGGTCCTGCAAACAATCCCAAGCACTGGTTCCTGGGTTTCTTAGACACACGTTTGTAGCTCGTAGAGTAGCTGCCCCCTCCCACCAAAGGCAGCATGCACTTCACCAGCATTTCTTGCTTTCAGGTTGTAGGCGTGGTGCGGAGGATGAGGAGGCACCCGAGCAGAAGGTTTCTGTACAAGGCGTGTCCCAGGTCAGGACTTCCAAGGCAGTCGTGTCTCCCCAGAAGGCCCATCCTCGTGAGGTGTGTGGCCACGACTTGAGAGACATTTTGCTCTCCACCGAGCACCAGGCAACACTTTGTGGACAGAACCTCTACAAGACTGGGGCATGTGAGAAACAGTTGTGTTTTGATGCAAACCTTCGGCACCAGAAGGAGCACATTGGAGAGAAATGCTTCAGAAGCAACACGGGCAGAGCTTCTTTTGTGAAGGACTACAAATTGTGTGTGTCAGGGAAACCCTTTTCCTGCGGGGAGGTTGTCAGGGACATCTTGGCCACCTCGAGATTCTTCCAGCAGCAGGCCACACACAGCAGGGAGAAGTCATACAGGACGACGGAGTATGGGGCATCCTCTCGTGGAAGGAGAGCGCAATGCAACTGGGGAGAAGGCACAGAGGACTTCACTTGCAAACACACACTTGTTCACCACCAGAGAGACCTCGCTAGAGAGAGATGCTTCACGTGCAGTGAATGTGGGAAATCTTTTAGCAAAAGCTACAGCCTCAGTGACCACTGGAGAGTGCACACTGGGGAAAAGCCTTATGAGTGTGGGGAATGTGGGAAGTCCTTCAGGCAGAGCTCTAGCCTCATTCAGCACCGGAGAGTTCACACTGGAGCAAGGCCTCACGAGTGTGACGAATGTGGCAAATTATTTAGTAACAAGTCTAACCTCATTAAACATCAGAGAATTCACACTGGAGAACGGCCGTATGAGTGCAGTGAATGTGGGAAATCCTTCAGCGAAAGCTCTGCGCTCCTCCAACACCGCAGTGTTCACACTGGAGAAAGGCCTTATGAGTGCAGTGAATGTGGGAAATTCTTTACCTACCACTCCAGTCTCATAAAACACCAGAGAGTTCACTCGGGATCAAGGCCCTATGAGTGCAGTGAATGTGGAAAATCCTTTACTCAAAACTCCAGCCTCATTGAACACCGTAGAGTTCATAGTGGAGAAAGGCCTTATAAGTGCAGCGAATGTGAGAAATCTTTTAGCCAAAGCTCCGCGCTGCTTCAACATCGGAGAGTTCACACTGGAGAAAGGCCTTATGAGTGCAGCGAATGTGGGAAATTCTTTACTTACAGTTCCAGTCTCCTCAAACACCAGAGAGTACATACTGGATCAAGGCCTTATGAGTGCAGTGAATGTGGGAAATCCTTTACTCAAAACTCCAGTCTCATTAAACACAGGAGAATTCACACTGGAGAAAGACCTTACGAGTGCAGCGAATGTGGGAAATCCTTTAGCCACAGTTCTAGCCTCATTAAGCACCGAAAAGTGCACTCTGGAGAAAGGCTTTAGGAGGACAGTGACTTTGGGAAACGCTCACCTCTGTCTTCCATTTCAATGACCATTCACATATTCACACTGAAACAAAAAAACTTTATGAGTATTTGAACGTGGGATGTTCTTTACCTATGAGTCCAAGCTCCTAAAACACCACAGTGTCTCCGTAGATGAAGGCCTGTGAATGTGAAGAATGTGGGAAATGGCTAACCAAAGGCTAGCCCCATTGCTCTCCAGAGAACTCACGGTAGTGAAAGGCCTTACAGATGCAGTGAATATGAGAAAGCCTTCATCTGAAGGACTTTACCTCATAGGACTTCACAAATTTCAAATGGGAGAACTACCTTAAATGTGCAGGTATTTAATTGATGAATGTAACCACACGGGAGGAGATCCCTTAGGAAGGTGCCATCTGCCTGTGTTGAAGCTCATACATTCAAACATCTGCATAAATCCCAGGTACGTGGTAGCTGCCTTGCAGTCTTTGAACCCGCCCAGGGGCCATACCTCAGTGTCAGGGCAATTGCTGGATCACTAATGAATAGCCTGAGC